TATGTCTGTTTGATGCATCCTGATTTTTTGATATATCCGAGTAGGCAGAACGTGTGTGCTACTCTGGTTGCTCGTCTGGCCACACTGAAGCTCTCACTTCCTGTCTCTGGGTGGGTGGGGCAGCGAATGGGTGTGTGAGCATGGTTCTCTGGTTGCTGGTCTTGTAGGGTAGCTGAGGATATAGCTGGTGTTTCTGGTGAGATGCTGTGTCTGTCTGGCTGGTCAGCTGGGCATGGGTGCAGGGAGTGTTCTCACTGGTCACTGGTTTGTGTATTGTGTGTGCATACTGTTTGCTGCCATGTATTCTGGGAGAGGGTGCCTGGGTTGTCAGTCACCAGGTGGATGGAGCAGAAACTCTCACTGACAGTCCCAGGCAGGCTGGGCATGGTCTCCAGTGGTCTAGGCTATAGGGATGTGGGGAGAGAAGCTGTGCCATTGATCATTTTGTTTCATTTTGGGTGTGTCTTCTTGGTTTCTCTGTGTCCTGATGGGAATTCTGTGAAGTTGCCTCCCGTGCTCCTCATCCAGGATCCCTGCTGTCTTTGTCTCAAGATGGCCCCGTTGTGCCAGGCCAGTTGGTGAAGGCACATCCACTCCGTCCTTTCTTGTTTGCTGTTTTCAGTTTCTTCTTCCATTCAGTATTTGATCTAGCTCTTTATCCCTTCATTTGATGCTCAGGGTTCTAGGACTGACATCTGTATCTGTTTTACTTGGTTTTCTGGGCCTTTACTTCAGAGGGACAGCATGTTACATCTGACTAGTCTGCCATCTTGGCTCAAGAGTCTCTTTTAACATTTTGTGGATATGTTTTCCCATGCTATTTTCTTCTTTATATTTGTTATTTTCTATATTTTTCACCAATTAGAATAATTACAGTTGTAATCAGAGAAAAAAAAAGGTAATTTAACTCCTCCAAACTGAAATGCCTCCTTTGTCTTGCTTTTATTTATACTGATGAAGTTGAATTGTACCTGAGCCCTTTGTTAAAAGAAAATCCTTTACTCTTTCAGGTGAGAAGGTTTATTTTAAATAACTGACCAAGACAGACTTAATGATCTACTCTGTTTAAATAACTTTAGAATAGATGTTTCCCACAGATTGGCACACAGAATAAAAGATATTACCCATGAGTACAGTGCTCCATTACAAAACCATCTATATGTGACCAAAAGGTCAATAATTACTCTAAAGCAAGATGAGAAGATAAGGGCACAGGGAAACTAGAGCAGTGGAAATGGAACAACCAGAATGCAATTAAAGAGAATGCTGACACACTGAAAAATGTAACAAATGTCACTGAACAATTTGTGCAGAAATTGTTAAATGGGAACCTAATTTGCAGTATAAACTTTCACCAAGAACACAGTAATTTTTTAAAAAATATGTTTCCCTTCCTTATCTCCCCAGTCTTCCTCCTCTCCTTGAGCTTCATCCACATCTCCCTCTTCCCCTCCTGCTGGTGTCCTAGGCTCCAGGTGGCCTTAGTAAATCACTAGCCCATCCCAGTGGTCATCCCCATAACTTTCTTTTAGAAGGATCCCAGTTCTCTGCTTTAGTGGGGTAGGAACTCAGATTTAGTTCTGGTTTCTCTTTCCCTTGTAATGGTCTCATTACAGTGGCCCTTTCCCCTTTTTCCCTTGTCCTTTCCCCCTTCATGCACTTCCCCCTTTCTTATCATAATCTTTTAAATAAAAGTTGTCCTTGCCTGTTTTAACATTGTTCGGTGCAATTATTTTTCTTTGACAGTACTAAAAGTATCCATTTACCTGTCTCTCTTACATATTCCAATCTATAAAACATTTTCCAATAATCCATACTTACTCTCTTCCATAATACTTTGGTCTGTTTTCTACCTATTGGGAAAGAAAAAAAAAGTATATTTGTGAAAATGCAAAAGTATAGAACATAACTCAACATTTTGTATATGTGAGAAACTAAAGCATATATTTAGATAATGAATTAGAATAAGATTAGAGATCGAAGGCTTGAGTCCCAGTTTTACCAGCTGATACTTTCGCCATCTGTATTGCTCACCTGATTTCTCTAAACCTGTTTATCTATGAAGTACTGTGTATGTAAATAGAGCTGAACCAAACTATCTTTCATTTCCAGAATATAATGACTCTGAAAAAATATTTGCATCACTTCACCCAAAGAGCAAAGCA